CCTCTAAGCTGACCCCCGAACGTTCGGGCGTTCGGGTCCCCGTACGGGGCCCGAACTTGAAGGGGTTCGGACCCCGCAAAAATATATTTTGGTACCTAAAAATTATTATTTTTTTCTGATTTTGTTTTTTTGCATTCTCTGTTATGTAGGCTACCTGTATAAAATTCCATGGCATTTGACAAAGCCAAAACAAAATGAAAAAGAGACCAAGGGAGGACGAAACGGGAGGCGGCGCCGTAGCGCTCTAGTCCCGCGACGCGCGTATGTTAGGGTTTGTCATCTTCTGCGCGGAGCTTGTCCGCCATGCCCCGGGGCGCTTAGCACGGGGAAGGCGGGTCACGAGGCTGTCGGGCTTCACATGTGAGCTGGAGCATTCGTGACGAGAGCTTGTCCTTTTGGGAAGAGGAGAGTCAGGTGGAGTTGTACGGGGAAAAGGAGTTGTGAATACTCCATACGAAAACCAATAGATCCATTGAACCTTTTGAATCGAAGATCGCCGTGTACTGGCAAACTTCCCATGGAACTGGAGCTTCCCCGAAGGCGGGCTTTGGGATCGCTTAGCTTGCCCGGTTGGGTAGCGACTGAAGGGTGGGAATGATGCTCCGGTCCTAGGTGATCGGCGCGACAAGTGCGGCAGGAGAATAACGATGTCGCGGTGTCTTGGACGCTAGCGGACGGGCGGAACAACGCTATCAGTTCCATATGCTGGCCCCTCCGAGAGAGGTGGGGCCTAGACAGCTCGACAGCTCGGTCTCGATCTGCTCGGCCTGTTCACCTACCAAGTGGCATCTGGACAACATCTCCGTTCACCTGTACTGCAGCTTCAAGCCGTTATTGCGGCTAGGTGTGTGTTTCTTTCCCCCCTTCGCTTCCGGACTTGTGTGATCTTTCCTTGTTATTAGCTAGGCTGGGCCATTGACAACGGTTGTGCTGTTTCCCCAACGAACGATCTTACTTGCTCTCGTCCACGATCTTACCCCCGTAGAGATTTCGTCTTCGCCCTGGATCCCCTGTTCCCCGACGTTAGGTTCATTTTTAATGTTTTGCTCTAGTTTACTTGCTACAACCGTTGTGGTACGGGCTCTACTGCTCCGTCTCAGCGCGGCCGTGGGATCCTTTGTTTTTCGATGGACTCTGGTCTAACGGATGTTATAGGTTTCGGGCTCTAAAAGTAGGGCGTTATCTTTATGATAGTTTTTTTTCTTTCGGAAATCGAGAGCAACTGCGTGGCGATTTCGGACTCGTCGGTGTCCAAGGGGGGTGTGATCCCGGTTTCTTAGGACAGACCACACGGCTCACTCAAGAGATCCGGGACGATGGTGTCCTGCGAGGTCGGCCTCGCTGCCCTCCAGTGTCCTACAGGCAAGGGGCGAATAGCCCTGAAACATCTGGCACGCTGCTCATTTTAGGGTTCTTTTAGGGTTGCTTTCCGAAAGAGGAATCCATTTCTTATATAGCGATAGCCGATACCGATACAGCTGGAAGTAGCCCACCTGCGGAGGGGGTGTCATTACGTATCTTCAGCCGGTCCCGACAGCCTGGATTGAAAAACGCCAAAACCCCCGTCACTGCAGAGGACATCCGCAGTAGTTTTTTTCCCGTAAACAAGACCAGGTTCGACTTTCCTGGGAGTATGCCTTTTCTTTCCTTTTCTTTCCTTTTCTTTCCTTTTCTTTCCTTCTTTTCACTAATCGTAGAGAGAGAATCAGCCGACCAAACTCATTTACCACTGTACACAGCTTAGGGACGCTTCTTCGTCTCTCCCCCTGTTGGCTCCGCTACCCCTTTACCCTTGTCGTTGCCCTTTCACACCCTTTGGTTCCGCCCCTCGACGTCCTTTTCACCCCGCGGTTTTGTCCTCCAGCAGCTTTTATTTTTTATTTTTTACCACTCGGCTGAGGTCCACGCTTCACTCCTTTGATCGATTTGCACCCCCACACCTGTTGTAATTGTTCGATCTCTCCCAGTTGACCAGTCTTTCGTTCGCCCGTACGCTCGCGAATCCATCTGTGCTGTTCCGCTTGACTGTCGCTATCTCACAAGTCTGTTCTTCGTTTACTCTTGGTCAGCTGCTTGCCCTTTCGCCTGTGCTCACTCAGCCTCTCGCTCACCTGTTCGCGTTCTTTTGTTCGTACCTGTTCGTACCTGTTCGTACCTGTTCTTTACATCCTTTTGTAGCCCTATTATTTTGATCGCTCGTACGCCTTTTTTGGCTTATTGCTTGCTGGCTTGTTTGGCTGGCTTGTTCGATCTCTCCCGCACCCGTCATAGTTGTTCGATCTTCCCTGCTGTTCAACCCTTCCCCCCGGTTCGCTTGCAAGTCCACCTGTGCTCTTCCGCTTGCTGATCTGCGTGCTCAGGTTCTTTCTTTTCGTTCGATCTTCCGTTCTGTTGGATCGGCCGCTCGACCTTGTTTTCACCCAATCTTTCGCTCACCTGTTCACTTTCGTTCGCGCTGGTACGTTATACCCTTTTGATGCCCTATTCTTTTGACCGCTCGTACGCAGGTTGGCTTTGTTGGCACGCTGGCCTTTTGCTGGCTATCACTTCGCTCAAGAGCTGAGTAGCTTAATAGCTCTCTCTCTCGATTTTGTCACTTATCGCTTACTCTCCTACCCTCCTACCTTCCTACTTACTTACTTATTTACTTACTTACTTACTTACTTACGGTCTTACCCTACCACTCTCTTTATTCTCATTATTCTCATTATCCTCACTTTTCTCACTTTTCTCCTTTTTTCTCATTCCTCCCACTCTTCTCACTTCTCTCATTCCTCACTTTCTCACTCCCTTTCTCTATCTCTCTCCTCCTCTCCTTCACTCCTACTCCCTCTCTCCTACTCCTCTCTTACTCTCTTATTTTAGTTACTTGCTTGTTGCACGCTCGACCTTTGCCCTTTTGGTTAAATCTGTTCTTCTTCGATTGTCCTGCATTCTTGCTCACCTGGCTCCCCGTTAGTCACATGCCGTGTCGTTCACTCTCTATCAACGTGAGTTTTTTTATATTGGCTTCACCCCTTTCTGGCCTGCGAAATCTGCGCAAGGCACTGTTTAGGAAACACGTCACTGGTATCCAAATCCGGCCCTTTTAAGCTCTCGCCCTTGCGGAGCTTGCAGGATGTTGCATGTCGAGGACGTAGACATGTCCCTACACTCGCCGCCAGATCCCGGGCCTAACCCAGGCTTGGATCAGGAAAGGCAGGGAAACGTCAAAGGAACGGATCAGGGATTGTTGTGGCAGGGTCTGGCTCCATACTGGAGAAAGGCACACACGGGAACAGAAACCCTTCCCAGCACATCACACGCTCAACTGAATCAGCACAATCCGGCAGATCAGGCCCGACATTCTTTCAACCAGATGGTTCAGGAAGAGAGTTCGGATAGGGGTAGATCACCAGGCGGTCGACATGGAGGTAGACAAAGAACTGGCCGTGGCAAGGGGAGGATGGAGCACCAGCCATTTGCCCCAAGAGAGGAATGGTGGCCGGTGGACAGTGACCCAGACAGCGAGGAAGAGGCAGAACCGCACAATGATGATATGGTCACGGAACACGGCAGTAGTACAGGACAGACCTCAGTCGATGTAGAAGAAGTCAGGAAAATGCTCGACAAATGCTTTGACCGTATGGTTATTCCGGACATGTCTAAGTTCGCTAAGTTTGAGAGGAAGGGGGACATTGTTGTCATGACAGTTCCCCCAGCAGTAGAACAAGCTCAGAAGGACTGGATGAAGGACAATGCAGTTGTTG